TGGTCTAAGGCGGAGGTTTTTAAAGGAAATAGGTCTCGACAGTCCATGGTTACTTGCAACAGTTTCATTTCCTCAAGTACATATAAATTATTATTGGTTGAGTACCACTGTAATTTTTGATTCAGGACCACTGTTATCGCAGTTTAATGAACTTCGATTGGTGCATAATTTTTCACGTGAAGGCTTTACGCACTTCTTTTTTTCCTTGAAACTTCACTTAAAAATTGGTAACGTTTAACAGTTGTACCCATTTCTAGTAAATTCAATGAAAGCTTAATTGCAAATTTACTATTTCTGGCGAATAACCAGATTTGGTTGAACTCAAATTGGTTTGGATCGAAATACACCTTTCTCTCATGTTGGAGGCTCTAATTTGAGTTTAAAGTAGATGGATACGTAAGTACGGTCACCTTCCTTAACCACCTTGTTATCTCGTGAGTTCATTTTAGGATTTAGGATTTAGGATTTAGGATTTTAGGATGCAATTTCCTTAGATCAGTTTAAACTATTCTGTAGGTTTTCCTCCAGTTATCCTAATTCGTAAGGTAAATACCGGAGTAGTATAGAACAACTTAAGATCTCCTGCAACGGCAAGAAAGAGAGCGAGAGAGTGAAGAGCTCACATGACGGAGCGAAACTTACATCCGAAATGAAGTTAAAGAAGTGGATGTAAGTTCCCAAGGTAGACCTGCCCTTACGTACCCAACCAACCACCCGGAAGAAGAAAAGAACAGAAGAAATGAATAAGGCAACAATAATTAAATTGTCATATTAAATGAGTGTTGTGAATCCTAACGTGGTCTTCATTTTTATGAAGTTTTCTTCTAAGAAATTGGATAACTGTACCACTTGAAAGGAAGTTAAATTGGAAGTCGTCTGAATGCTTAAAATTTCCTCGGGAATTGAATCAGTACTTTTGAACTCCCATACGTCTTTATTAAATTTCGAAATTATTTTCATTTTTCTCCAAAAATCCATTCCCAATATTAAGGTCTGTGGAATATTAGGTACCATTAAAATGTTTACCGGTTTTTTTGTTATCTTCTAGGGTAATGGGTAGTGAAAACGAACCAAGTGATTGACAGGATTCTCCATTGGTCATTTTGCTTTGAGTTGGTGTAGTATCTTCAATTTTCAAATTGAGGTGTTGTAGCATTTCCATCTTGCATATCCCAGAATTGTGCAACTAGCACCGCTATCAAGTAATGTTAAAAATGGTTTGCCTAGAAGTGTAACCTTTAAATATGGACGATTATTTCCTTGGGCTTCGGATGTGGGTTTCCCGTGCATTTGCATAGTCCTTAATGTTTCTCGAGGGTTACCACACCTGAAACAATATATTTTCTTGGGTTGCAACGTAATGAAGAAACTCCGAAAAGGGTCATCAGGACGAGAAAATATATTTCTGCGACCTGGAAACTCCATCACGACAACGCGCCACAACGAGCTACGAGTCCGCGAATTCTTGGTCAAAAAACCTTACGAGAGGTCCCAAAGATTCCTTCCAAGGCGCATACCGGTCATGGCAGAGTATTCGGGAAAAATGTGTACACGCCCAAGGACTTTGAACAATTTTAACTTAAGGGAACTTAAGGAGCAAGTTAATAAGGAGAAATTGTGGACAGATTTGGGGAAAACAGAGCTAAGTTTGGAAATCTGCACCTGAGAGGAAATTAACAAAAGTTTAAAGTGAACATGGAAATAATTTGAGAACATGAGAGGAATTTTAGAATAGAATTACTAGAAACTTGAAAGGAATTTGAAATGTACTTGAATGGAATTGGATGCGAACTTGAAATAAACTGGAAGACTTTGAAGAAATACTTCTTGTAGATTTTTTCCAAATGGTGATAATAAAGATTGACTGATTGACTGATTGATATAGGAACCGCCAGAAGGCGAGAGATGGCTCACTATTTATATTCTGTTAATGGCACCTATTGCTGCGCCACTTAACCATACTGGCTCCTACTACAAATTCTAAATTGCTCATCTACGCATAGCTCTCTCTCTCTCTTGTCTTCTTAGCGTTTGCTAAAAAGAGTGACCATTTAGATAGTGACAATTTTTAGCACTTGAATTTGAAGCAATATTTACATTGGGTTTTTTCTATTGACCTGACTTTGATTCCATTTAATGCCTTACCTACATATTCTGATATTTCGATATAGATTTTCTGCAATTAGCTGTCCTACAGCAAAAGCGGAAAGAGATTACTTTTTTTTGAGGTTAAGAGGAAAGGATCTAGGATCATATTTGTGCTAAAGATTCGTAATATTGAATCTAATAATACGAGCAGACATTTATGTCCTTGAAAATATAACTACCCGTTACGTTTTTGGCGCACGAACGTGGTGACTCGAATTAGTGAAAACTACCCTGATAGTAGATTTTTCTTTATTTTATCTTTACGACTAGCAGTGAACTTCGTAGCGAAATCCCGTTTGTTTTCGTACCCCGTTCCCTTGGGAAGAAGTCCCTTTTGGAGTTCACCTTAACGTCTTCAAAGAAACCTACATTCTAAATGTTATCACAATAGTTCTTTGTTATGTCGCTCGAGGTCGTGCAGAGGTTTCTTTAATTCCTTTGGCGCACGAACTTCTTCTCAAAGAAAGGAATTAATTTCTGTCAACCATAGCCCTCCTTCTCGACCTCTTATCGTGATCGGGTATATTCCCTTATACCTCAAGAACGGATTGTCAGAAGAAGATACTCACAAAGGGCGATTGAGACGTCTTCAAGAAATATATCCATTGGTGATGTCAAAACAAAAGCTATTTCGGCTTAAAAAATGCGCTTTATCTAGAGTTGTGCACAATTTATACTTGTTTCTTCTCATATTGTGCTGTCGACACTTCGCTACCGCATTTGCGGATATACTTTACAAGTTCCAAGGTCGTTTTCGGTATATACCAAAAATTTCTCATTACCATTGGCTTTGCATAATCATTTTTTAGGCTTCTTACTTCTGGCTCACTCCTTTCTTCCTACGTGATTTTTGCTTTAGACATCGATATTCTTGAGTATAAACCGCAGAATTTGGATTTTCTCAATATTGCGCAAGGAAAATTCATTTGAAGTCCCACCGCCATCTTATTATTTCAAGAACACTATGCGACTGAAGTTTCTACCTTACCGGCTTGGCGACCTGTGGCGTACTTACATAGAATTTGTTTACCTACACTTCGGAGTTGTTTATACCTGGAGATTTCGAGATAATTCCCATAACTGCAAGTATTTATGAAACCTTGGAGATTATTATCGTTCCGATATACCTGATATTACGTATATTGTTTTTGTCGTTACAGAATATTTGACTTTACGGATGTCCAGACCCGCTTTTGTCTACATAATTCGATTACTACAAAGATTCATTTCTGTTAGTTTGATTACATTGTATCCTTCAGATTAGCTATGTTATACCGATATTAGTACGGTTGCTTTGTAAATTAGTTTTTGAATTTACAGAGACTTTGTCCGAAGCCGATATCGACAATTTTTAGTCGCACTATTTGTTTTACTCGGAAGGATTGGTTCGCACTACCTGATCTACATTCTGAATCGGTTAGATTGTGTTGCTGTCAAATAGAAATGTAGTTATTTGTGCATCGTAATAGTTATTTCTTGAATTTAACGCCACGTTTATGCTTTTATACCCGAATTTATACGAGAAATCCGTAATCGAGTTAAACTTTTGCTTTTGCTAATGTCAAGTCATTCGAATTATTGTTTCTTTTTGAGTATAAATTTCAGTTTAATTATCCGATTGCCTCATTGGCAGACGTTAGCATTCCTTACGCAATATCTTATGTGATGCCCTATTCACAACGCCTTTTATTTGTTTGTTTTGTTGTTTTTCTGTTACAGAAAAGGCTGAATGCGTCCTTGTGGGCTCACAAGGTTGCGACCCGAAGTTCAAAGGTCATTTTTATTTTTCGTCCGCGTTTGATTATATACTGGTTTTCGATACAATCGAATTGTAATTGTTACACTTGCTAATATATTAAAAAAAATGAGCAAAATCAATTAATGTACAGGGTGTTTTTTTCGAATTCTATAAATTAGTCAAGAATACGACTTTCAATTATCATACAAATCAGCCTTTGACTTTGATTTTGGACAACGGACTGTAACGCCGTTATCAGAAACGTCGAAGCGTCACCTCAAGGTTAACACAACCGCCAAAAGTGTATCTCCTTTTAGTGCTTATGTGATGTGAATCTAATGGTTTTGTGAGTTCGTCCGTCTGCTCCTCGTCTAAGTCGAGAAGGAAAATAGACAGCGATGTCAAACCTTCGCCAATCGATGATCTATGAGTTCAAGGATCGGTGCTATTGAATATGAGCCGAATTAAAAGTCGTGTCCGAATGCGGGCGGATTTAATTAGGTTCCAGCGGTGCACAAAATTTCCCTACCGAAAATCGTATGCGATTCTTCATATTTTGTTTTATATTAAGGTAATTTAGGGGCGCAATTTTAATGCTTGCCCTAGGCGCCATTTGAGAATGCTACGCCACTAACACCCTGTAGTTCCTCATTATAAAATTATAAAAATATTATTAATAGTTTTCGAAATACAAACAAAAAACTGAAAAATGGGGTCTTTTATCCCCTTCCCTGATGCCAGCACACTTCTCACCCTCGGTGACTTTTAGTATGTTTACCTGTACACCTCCAGGGATAGCTGTACAAACTTTCAAAACTACAGGAATTATTCGGCCTTAGTACCTTAATTTACCAGGCTACATTGTGAAGAAGTAAAATAGTAAGTCTACCGCATGTCCCTTATGTTAGTTTTTAACATAACCAAAATTCGGGACAAACAATGTCACCTGGTAACAAACCAATCAGGAGGATTGAGGAAAATTGGTATCATTCAAGATCGCTTATCATGTTGTCGGCGTAGTTACAAGGGCCGACTAGAGTGCATCGATAAATTTGGAAGATATGGGTATATAAACTCCCTTGGTATCGCCATAGGTTCACTTTAGTTGTGACTGCTCAGTCTCAGAGTAATAAAGATGAATATCTTGACGTCCATAGTTCTTTCTTTTGTGAGTACTTCATTCTTGTTACCTGTAAATGTGTTTTTCAATTATAACATTTGTAGCTAATTGCCAATGTTTGCTCCGCAAATGTCGGTGGTTCTAAACGCAATCTACTTAGAGAACATCTAGGCTGGAATGATGCTGACCATGAGTACGAGACGACCGAGTCAGGGAACGAACTTAAGGAAGCCTCATTTGAGTGCCGCACTTCAGGAATGTATCCCGATCCATTCGATTGCAACAGGTACCATCATTGCGCTCGCCATGGGAACGACGGCGATTGGAACAAGACCCCTTTAGAACACTTCAGCGATACATGTAACTGTGGCTACGCGTACAACTCGAGAACAACCTTCTGCGACATCTCGATCAGGAACAACGGCACGTGCAACAATAACCCTATCACCACGTGTGAGCATCCGGGGCAAAACGGCAGGATGGAACACAATCCTTCGTTGTACTTCATCTGTCAATATCATCATCAAAATGGACAGCTGTATCCCTTCATGTATGCTTGCGAACATGGTAGAAAGTATAACGCGTACAAGTACCTTTGCGAGTAGTGTTTTACAAGTAGGAGTTGTGCTGAATTGTACTAGATAAACACTTTTTTACATTTCAGCTAACATGGAAATAAAAAATATGCAAAATTGTGCGCTTTTAGAAATCCTTGTACCATAACTGATGTAGTGCCGATAGTAGGTACTTACTCAAAAAATAACTGGCATTGCAATTTTGTTTAAAAGAAACCAATCGTGCTTGATTGTGTTGGATAGCGTAATATGTCGTAATTCTTCTTTGATTAATTAAACAAATAAACCCCTAAATTTGTGACAAATCATTTTTTAAAGATTAAGTTGCGGTTTATTCTTTTAGATTTTGTTTCTCTCCCACCCTGCTCATTAACACGTATTAGAATAAAAAAAGTGCCAAGTTCTTGACAGAACAGCTTCCTAGCTCAAAACCAAACATCGCCCGCGTGTCAAAACGTTTCCCAGGAAAGTTTACTGTTTTCCGATGTAGAACAAGAATATTCCATTTGAAAAAATTAGTTACCCCACACTTGACCCTTGAGGGACAGTTATGTGAAAATGTGCATAGCATCATTAAATGGGCTCCTCCACATGAAGAATATTTTATATAAATCATTTTTGGATATCCCTGCTAGTTTCCGTAATAATCGATGGTCTCAAAATAAATGGGACACTCTGTATATAACTTAATTGAAAGTCAAATATAAAATTACGAAACTGTAGTCGCCAAGTTCTATTATACAGGTGCAGTTAATCAATTGAAACTGATATCTTTTGTAGACAACAACTTGTATTACTGTTTTGTTTCGAATGTCTTAGTTATACTCGGAAAAAACGAAATTTACATGATATTTGATGTTTCCTGTTCAGATTGAATTGTTCTAAGATATACATGATGTTTACTTTCACCTACTAGGCAACCACCTAAAACGAACTAATGCCACATCCGAGGGCTTATGTCCGATCCTGGAACGAGACGTGGGGACGAGAGGAGGCGGCGCAACCGCCGAAACAGAGCTTATGTCCCAACCGGGAGGAATTAAACGGCATACGCGTCCACAGGCATGCGAAACTTGACCCTCCCCACAACTATTTCGGAATTCGAACTGAGTTTAATCACGATTGAATGTGTGCCATAATGGTCTAGTGGAGAATACTTGGCTTGCAACCGGGCGTTGCGGGTTCGATTCTTTGCATGAACTTTTTTATTTTTTTTTACAAAAATGCGTACCCCAATTCAGCGGAGTTGGACATTAGGCGATTACTAAGTGTAAGATTGTCTTCTCAAATTTTTTGAAAAGCCACACTATTAAAAAATGCTAGCTATACCGGACCAGAAGATACATCTGATCTAAACCAAATTAAAACACAATGTTTTTAGATTCTATCTGCAGATGTGACATACTACGAGCATTACAATATGAAAACCTCAAATTCAAAAATTCAAAAAAATCAAATATTAGATTCTTGTCCAACGTTAGGGTCTATGCGCTACCGGAAAATGTTAACCGATTTTTTCTTGTTTTGTCTATATAATGCGCGCTATTACAACTTCAAAATAAAAAAATTAGTTTTTTCGGTCCACCCTAATGAAAAACCGTTGCTAATTAAATGAGTTGCAGTAAACAGCATCCGATTAGGACATTAGGAGTCGTTTCAAAGGAAGCGTTAGCTTGTTTAAGCCCTCTAAGCTCACCCCCTTTTGAAATAATAATAATAACCTTACAGCTCTTATAAAAACCCACAAAATTGTGTTTTTAATGAACTTTGTGTCATAAATAAGTAAAAGAGATATGATATGACATATTTTTTTAAATAGGAGCATGATTATCTACATTACCGGTATATATTTCGTTTACTCCACATTAGACACTGTGATAAAATGTTAATTTTTGAGGGTTAAATCATTTTTCTAACTTAAACCACAATATGGGATGATATTTACGGATTGAAATATTCTAACAATCACTACTCAACTCATCTGAACCAAATTTTACTCACCTTAACCTTTAAGATATAGTGTTGTGTGTAACTACAGCATGCGGGAGTTGCGACGATCGGCACCTGCAGTAATTATGGGTCACCTTGTATGTACATTTCAATTTTATTTCAACGTTAAACGTGGATTTTTAGATTAAGCGCAATGCCTGTCATGTCACGCGACGTCGAAGTCGATTATGTTTGTATCCGAATTTTTTTAATCTTGTTTATGTAATTGTAAATCTAAAGTGCCTGTTAAAAAGATGAATGTTTCTCTGCGGTTGTTTCGATAAGAATTGTTATCGCTGCGTACGCGAATTAAATTTCGAGATAAAGACGTGTTACCGCCGGTTAGAAAACACAGATGCGGTTTGATTTTTCGAAGACGCACAGTATTTTGTCAACGAAGTAGAGGTGGAAGTTGAGGATGGAAATAATTGTTAAATAGAAGAGACAGACGTTAAAGAAGACTTGCCTTTTGCCTGTCCGTAAATCTTCTTTGGTGCTCGTGTAGCTCTTTGCAGTGCGTTTAGCCGTATATTGTAGCTGTTTATTTTATGGCGTTTTGGTAAGGACAGCCAGTCGTGATGTCCTCGAAGAATTCTCCCAGAATGTTCAGCAATTCTGTTCCAGCTTTTCGTAATAGATTAGAACATTTTGGACACTCTTGCGATGAAAACCAATTAATTGCTAATTTCGTTTTTATCTTCGTTTATTTATTTATTGTTATTGATGGCATTACTTAATAAAGCGAGCTTTTACTTTTTTTTTAAGTTTCTTGTACAAGGCTACTAACATGTGACGTCATCGAAACGATAAAAAAACCTCTTTCAAATGAGCCTAATCAAAGGGTACATATTGCTATTTAAAAAAATTCAATTGTTTTATGTTATTCATTTGTTTTCTGAAATAAAAACAACTGAATGCTACCTTTCATAATAGAAAAGTTATGTGTTGTATATAGTCGTTATTTACCGAGATATACAGTGATATTCATGTAGAAGTAGACATAGGGATTTTCTGTAGGAATTTCCTATGTATACTTTTAAATGATAAAAAGTCTTCTGAAGGACGCCTAACTTTATGCCACCAAAATAACTATCTACAACAAATGAAGATTTGCCTGTCATATTAATTAATTTGAGTATTATCGCTTTGACTTCCCTATTCTAATTTCGGTTCGTGTGCGATGTATTCAACTAAAGAAAAAGTTGACATTTTCAATTGGTATAGTACCGACAACAGTTAAAGAAACTTAAGAGATTTATTTTCTGTGAAGTCAAAGCAACAATATTCAAATTAATAATTAAATATGGCACTGTAATGGTCCTAGGGGTCTATCAAGCCGACACTGAAAACGTTGACTCGACTGATGGACGTTTCGCGGCACTTTTGAATTTGGATGGCAGTTGGCTCGATATGGGTGGCACGAATGAACTCCTACGTTGTGTAATTGGTTCTTGTATGTGTTGGGACGTGAGACATAATTGGGAAGAGAATTAAATAAAAGACAGAACTTTTGTGCGTAAGAAATGACAAAAACGAATAAATATATTACGCACACAACAAGCCCATACCAGGGAAACCTTCTACGGGACAAAAACCCCGAGATAGGCCACACAAATACGTGAAATAAATCACCTACCGCAATAAAATGCAAGAGAAAGTACACATAAATAAAACATCTCAAATTGTATGAAAAAATCAGATAATCGAATCAAATACAATTAAACAAGTTCATAAAAACAAAATACATAAGACAATATATATGCAATACAAAAATACATCAAAATACCTGTACAATCAATTGAGATAACAACTCGTAAAATAATAAATGACATGTACATGGGAAACATCAACATGGTGTGGCTCTATTCCAGCCTTCATTAACATAATTTTATTTGACATGAAAAGTACATGTGAGAATACCAATAGTATTCATGTGAAAATCGATTATCGCTCAAGCAGAACATATTTTAAATAGAGGAAATGTTAATGAGAGGGCCCTTAAATATCTCGCATTGCTAAGGTGCTAAGAACTGCAATCCGCACGAGACGAGTAGGCAACAGATACAACGAAAGATCTAACTGTATTAAGGTACGTTTCCTATGAAGTTATGTCTGTAAATAATTCATCCAATACTTCTCCATCCGATTTTCCCATGCCTGATCCACGCAACCTCTCTGTGACTGGTTCATCTTGTTCTCCTGTGGTTAATCACTTGCCTCTTCCGTGGCTGGACCTACTCATTTAATTATAATGAGATCATTATATGTCTAAAACTCGTCCAAAAGTGGGTGTTCCGTCATTTTTTACATAATCAGTAAACTTCTATACCCCCATTTAGATTGTACTGTTTGCTGGTTCTCTATTTTAGAACTGCTTTCCTTTAAATATTGAAATATACAGTACGTAAATTTTAACTCTGAACATCCAAAATTCCTACGTTCAATTTTTAAGTATACAAGTCAATGCATTAATATGCCTGACAGTTATGCAACCCACCTTACACAAATTTGACTAAAAAAACTTGGCAGTTATTTTAGATACGTATTCGGCGAATTTACTTAGCAGATACGACTTATTAACTGTGACACTGTCTTTAAAGTGGTTTTATCATATTTTTTCAGTTCATTTGCGGTGAATTATCGAATTCAATACCGGCTTGTGTCAAATTTCAAATTCTCCCGAACAGTGATGTAATTGAAGTTTCTTCTACGTACGCCAATATATTTAACTTCATTCATTAACAATACAACCATCAACATGAAATTTTTTAATGATGAATTGAGCCAATTGACGCCATTTTGCATATCTGGATATTTAGGTGCAAAAATAAATCCTGTGAGTATTGAAATATATCTGTAACACGTCCTTTTCTTCTTCTTTTGTATACATTTTATTGAGAATATACGTCGTTTAGTATAAAAACAGGCGCCTACTGCAAAATTTGTCTTTTTCTTCGCATGAGCTAGATAGAGATGAAAATATCATAGCATAATTTGTGTACAACTCACAGGCGACCAGTTTTACTTAGGTGGCTGACTGTTTTTGTACTAGATGTTACATTGGTTGTATATTTCAAGGGGTATTTGACTTGTATATTTAAGAATTGAACATAGGAAA